AAAATAGGACTTTTGATTTTGCTTTCAATGCAAGTATGTTCAAGCCTATCGCATAAAACTAAAATCTCAAAGCTTACCCTAATTAAGCCCAAAATTTCATACACGTATGTAACAAATGCTGATTGTTCTTATAACTGAAAAAGAAAATAAAACCAGCACGTTTTCAGGTGCACAAGTTCCATAGCTTGATTAACCTGAAAACCACTTTTAATACCTTCATTTTTCCTTCACAGCTGATATATTAAAAGGTATTACCCCTCTTGACAAACTTTGTCTGTCCTGCTCCTGTACCATCACAGTGACATCAGTGCTGATACCATGTGGAAGGGATTATCCTCCACAAAGAGTTTCTCGTGTTTCATGCTTAGCAAAATAGGTCCCCTGCCATGTTTAAGGGAATGAGAAGAGAAGGAAGATTTCACTATTAAGTCATAAAACTAAGATTACATAATTTATGATGATTTAAAATATTGCACTCTGCTGTTCACCTCAAGGAGCCTATTGCAGCAGCATTTGCCTAGTCCTTTATTTATTGCAGGAGGAAAAGGCAATTCACATTTTACCCATGGTTTTATGACATGCTGGATACTCAGCTTATGCACCTATCTAAGGGCAAACCCTTTAACCCCTTGAGATCTGCTAATCAGGAACACCAGCTGTTAAATGCCAGTGTGCATCTTTCATTGGTGCCTGAGGGGAGAGAAAGGGTTGCAGAGGATATGACCCTAAACTTCAGAAGCTGCTTCTCTCCTTGCGGGCAAAATATCATTCAGCCTGCATCTTCTCTTGTTTTCTTTTAGTTTATCCAGCTAGTGTTGCTGATGTGGGTTGTTGTGCACTCACTGTGAATGCTTGAAGCCTTTAGGAAGATAATAGTTAATTACTGAAGCTAAAGTCTGCCTTGCATTGGTGTGGAAGTGCTTTTGGAAGTATTTCCACAGCTAGCTCTCTGAGCTGTTAAGGGCAGGAGGAAGGCTGAGTAGTATCTGGCTCATACTGAGTTACTGCAAATGCATGTTCTGCTTAAAAGAAAAAAATGACATACATTACACAGCCATTTTTCATAATACTGCTGGTACAACATTAGCTCAGTGTCACACTAAGTTACATTTGTACATTCATTTAAAACAAGCAATGAAATCCATTGTGAAAAAGGAACCTGTCACAAGCACAAACCAAATGTATTCCTTGCAGAGTAAAATACAGTCAAAAGGTGAAAAGGCAGTGTTGTATTCTTTAAATGTTTCCTCTTTTACCGTTTCCTTTATTTTCTGAAACAACAGTAGTACTCTTAAGCAGACAGATACATATTGATGGGGAGAAAAGATAAAAAATATTGCCTTTTGACATATTTTGTGATCTCTTTTCCAGTTTTCGGTGCTCTCTAGCCTAGTATTTTTAACCCCTCCTCTAGATTGTTTTACAACAATAAATTAACATCTCCATATGTTGCTGGACTTCATAGTTTAGCAGCCTGAGCAAAGCACTTCCAATAATGGAATATCCTTGGAATCAGTGGATCGAGTTCTTCCATATTTTAAACCACTGCATCAAACTTAGCTTGTATGTGGGATTTCCAGATAAGCAGTGTTTAAAATACCTTAACAGTGTATGGATATTTTTCAGCCATCTCAGTAAAAGTGTGATTTGGCCCTAATATCCTTAGTTGCAATATAGAATCATAGAATAGTTAGGGTTGGAAACGACCTCAAGATCATCTACTTCTAACCACCCTGCCATGGGCAGGGATTCATTGCATTATACCATGTTGCACAAGGCTCTATCCGACCTGGCCTTGAACACCGCCAGGGATGGAGCATTCACAACTTTCCTGGGCAACCTATTCCAGTGCCTTACCACCCCAACAGGAAAGAATTTCCTCCTTATATCTAACCTGAACTTCCCCTGTTTAAGTTTTAACCTGTTAACCCTTGTCCTGTCACTACAGTCCCTAATGAAGAGTCCCACTCTGACATCCTTGTAGGCCCCCTTCAGATACTGGAAGGCTGCTATGAGGTCTCCACGCAGCCTTCTCTTCTCCAGGATGAACAGCCCCAACTTTCTCAGCCTATCTTCATATGGGAGGTGCTCCAGTTCCCTGAACATCCTCATGGCCATCCTCTAGACTTGTTCCAACAGATCCATGTCCTTTTTATTTTGAGGACACCAGAACTGCACACAATACTCCAGGTGAGGTCTCACAAGAGCAGAGGAGAGGGGCAGGATCACCTCCTTCGACCTGCTGGTCACACTCCTTTTGATGCAGCCCAGGATACGGTTGGCTTTCTTGTGCTGCAAGTACACACTGAAGTCGGCTCGTGTTAAGTTTCTCATTGAGCAACACCCCCAAGTCCTTCTCCGCAGGGCTGCTCTGAATCTTTTCTCTGCCCAACCTGTAGCTGTGCCTGGGATTGCTCTGACCCAGGTGTAGAACCTTGCACTTGTCATGGTTAAACTTCATGAGGTTGGCATCAGCCCACCTCACAAGCGTGTCAAGGTCCCTCTGGATGGCATTCCTTCCCTCCAGCGTATCAACCGAACCACACAGCTTGGTGTCATCGGCAAACTTGCTGAGGGCGCACTCAATCCCACTGTCCATGTCAGCAACAATGATGTTGAATAAGACTGGTCCCAGCACCTGAGGGACACCACTCGTTACTGGTCTTCAGCTGGACATTGAGCCATTGACCACAACTCTTTGCATGTTGCCATCCAGGCAGTTCTTTATCCACCGAGTGGTCCATCTATCAAGTTTATATCTCTCCAATTTAGAGACAAGGATGTGCAGGACAGTGTGGAACACTTTGCACAAGTCCAGGTAGATGACGTCAACTGCTTTGCCTCTATCCATCAGTTCTGTAGCCCCATCATAGAAGGCCACCAAATTGGTCAGGCAGGATTTCCCCTTAGTGAAGCCATGCTGGCTGTCACCAAGCATCTTGTTGATTTTCATGTGCCTTAGCATGCCTTCCACGAGAATCTGCTCCAAGACTTTGCCAGGCACAGAGGTGAGACTGACTGGTCTGTAATTCCCTGGGTCATCCATTCTCCCCTTCTTGAAAATGGGGGTTATATTTCCCTTTTTCCAGTCGTCGGGAACTTCACCTGACTGCCATGATTTTTCAAATATGATGGAGACTGGCTCAGCAACTTAATTTGCCAGCTCCTTCAGGACCGCGGATGGATTTCATCAGGTCCCATGGACTTGTGTACGTTCAGGTTCCTAAGACGATCTCAGACCTCGTATCCCTCTCTCCTAATGTCATGTAGCATATGCTGTATTTTTTGTCACCTGAAATGGCACAAAAAACATAAATATAAGTGTTTCTGGTTACTGTAGAATGTTGTGCATACTGTTGTACTCGCAGATTAAAGAGAAAGATTCAGTCTAGCAAAGATGTTTAATTTCTGTCAGATTTCAACAAAAATAATTCAAAGGAGAGCTTAAAACTCACACTGCAGTTAAACACTGAACTCCTCTCACCTGTGAAGGCAGGTTGAGTTCAGACTTCACTCTGTGCCTTGAAAATCTCTTCTTTTGTCCGCCTCTGTCACCAGAGAACTGTCTGCACACTATCATACACATCAGTGGAAGGCAGCTGAATTTACATAATATAACAGTAATCTAGCATAAGTTTGAGTAGAAAAAAAAAAAAACCCTCATCACAAAATGAGGTTTAAGAGTGAACTAGCAATAAATATTTAAACTCGTTTGTTTTAAGCACAGTAAGGGAATAGATGCAGAACATGTAGTGGTGGATGCTGAGGAGGAAGAAAGGTTTGTTTATGTAGAGAGAAAACAAGTAATGCTGGCTTTATCCTATGCCGCTGATTTCATCCTTTTTCCTGTGAGTTTTTTTGTTCCAAGTCTTTTTTCTTCCAAAACAGCTGACCGTCTTTGCAGCACTTAGTTTTGTTCATCAGCATCTCTAGGTACTTAGGTAGTTCCCATCACCATATTATCAGGGGTATTTAAAATGGAAACAGGGCTAGTAATCCAATCTCTGCATCTGTTCACCTTGCTTCGAAGCCTCTGGCCTCTCAATAAGACAGTTATTAGGGCAAAATCATATTTTGCTTTCCTTTTCCTTTTAATTACCTATGGCTGAGGACACATCACAGGTGCTTGTGGGTGATGTGGGCTCATCACAGCTCATGGGCTGGGCGACACTAATCAGTAAAAACTGATGTTTAAGGGACTTATATTGGCAAAAGTATTCAAAACAAGCTTCCCGTTAAGCATACTGTCCCACTACGACTATTCTTACATTCCAGTGCAAGCATATGCTTTGGTGTTTTGCTAAATCAGGATTTTGTAATCAGGTGTTGTTCATATTATTAGACATGTCATTCTGCTAATGATGATAAAAAAATAAGCACCAGTTCGCAAGTAAATGCCTGCAATTTGCATCACAGAAATGGAGGAATTAACTCTTTCAAAGGTAAGCTCAGAAGCCCAGCTAGCCATTAAAGTTATTAGATCTTGTCATGAGTCTTTTCCCTTTTTGTCCTGAGGCTAGAGTATTTTCAACTAAAGAATGTCCCTCACTGGAGCAGGGACATATGTGTTTGCAGGCATTGGGAAGTCTATGTGGCACTAAAGCCTGTCAGCTCCACTCAGAGGATCTCCAGGTCCATCCTTGCAGCACGCCTCGGAGGCCAGCTCAGGACTGTGGTCAACCTCATCCATGGATGTTGGTGTCTTAAATTTTTCTCATATCTTAATTTCTGAAAGAGTGGATTCCTCTTATATTGAGCCAGGATGCAGAACATGTTTTTTTCTGGCTTTTCATGAATTAATGTTAATAAAAGCTGCCCCAACTTCTAATTTTTCTATATGAACACAAGAATTGCAGCTGCCTGCCAAGTCTGCTGAGAGATGGATGTAATAATTTTCAATTGGACTGTTAGCCCAAAGGGAACCCGGTAGCAAGAGATTGACAGACACAGCATGGATTATCTTGTGCTCTGAACTCAGCCCAATTTGTGGTTTGTTGCAGGTGCTAAAGAGATTGATATTGCTGCTACCCTGGAGCACTTGAGGGACCAGAGACCAGGCATGGTCCAGACAAAGGTACTGTCAATAAATCCACTGGGATTTTAAATACATTAAAGGTCTTTCACAGTAGTTGTTTTCATGACAGAAGAGAGAGGGTATGACCTAATTTAACGCAGGTCATTTGCTGATTACTCTGTTTGGCTCCCTACCAACCGAGGTTTATTTATGCTGAAGATTTATCTAGGCTACTTTCTTTGGTGTTTACTGCTCTTTCTTGTAGCATCTCCAACATCTATCTTGATTACCATATATGAAGGGCAGTCAAGACAAGCTATAGCCTACTAAAGAAAATGTGCATTTGAAAGAATGTTCTTGCTTTCATCCTGAAATATGGACTGTTTTCTTAGAGTATCTGTGCTTAACTGTGCATGTAATATTTTTAGTAAAGCTTCAACTTACTGAAGAGAATGTAACTGATGCTTTTTTTTCTAGAGGAAAAAAAATGTTTTGAATTGAAGGAAATACAGTTTTGTAGGAAATTGACTCATTTTTAGAATCTTTGTACAGAAGAGCTTGTATCATGCCTATAGCCATATCCTTTATGGATGTAGCATGGTAACTTTATTTGTACCCTTTGGTTAAGTGAACATCTCACTCTATAATTCCTGTCAGTTATAATAGTTTTGACATTTTTCCACAATGTAAAACTTTTAAAGATAGCTGATGGTGTGATTGCGGCCCCTTAAATTAGAAATGAACCTTTCTGTTATCAACAATTACAGTGATGCATGGAATGAGCTGTGATTCTATGAATGATATTTTGGGGTATTTGCTGCAAGTTAAAAGTTGCAAATATGACAATCAAGAAACTTGTTCATGTCATGGAGGCAAAATAATTTTTATATGACATTGTAAAATATCAAATGAGAGTTACAGCCCCAAACTGAGTAACAAGACAGGCAGCACTCTGCCATGGCCAGGCTGGAACTGATAGGAAGGTCTGCAGCATGCAGGGAATTGAAATTGCTGAGGGACAACAGTGAAATAAATGTGTGTTGCAGGAATCATTGGTTCATAACTGTTCTTAAATCCCTGCCTAATCATTTTAGCTTCCCTGTAATATTAGGAAATGTGGTTCTGGAGAACAGTTGGCGGGATGTTAATTATTATTTACCAATTAAGTAAGTGCATGAAAAATAAAGATGAGCCAGTCAAAGCTAACTAATCCTTATCTGCAAGTAAGACATAAAATTGCACAAATCTTTCTTCTTCGATTATTCAGGCTGGAAAAAAAACTCAAATAGCACACAGTATCCAATGTCACATATGTTTACTCTGAGGGAAGATGCAAGTCTTAAACTACTGTGTAAGTGTATCCAAAATATATATCTGATGTGTAGAAATATAGAGCTCAAATTTCAGTTTCCTTCTCAAAGCAGAGAAATTACAGCTTGTTGCCTTCAACAAAAGAAAAAACAAAGTTCCATAACCAAAGAATGAGGTTATGCGAACAACTTCTCATACTTAGATCAGAAATAGTTACCCGTGTCCCATGAAAATTTCACTGAAGATGTGGTTTTGTCCTCCAAACATTTATCTGAAAAAACTCCAGAAAAGAAATGTATCCTGTGTTCTCACCCAGGATGAAAAATTTTCTAAGGATATTGCTTATCTCCCCTCTTGCTCCTTCTTCCATCATTGTCATTTTCTCAAAAACACCCAAATCACTTATTCAAGCTAATGTCTTGCAAATTATAAATATCTGGTTACATGCTAGCAATGCACAATCCCCAGAGAATTTTTCTGATGGATTTAAACAAACCCCTGTGCTTTCCCAGCTGAATACAAATGAGGAATATTAGACTCTTGGAGTAATTTAAAACGATGGATTAAAAGTCAGGTTAGAAATGCCAATTACAGAATATCCCTAGGCAAAATAAACATCAACTTACTTCACCAATGTTATTGTGTTTCCAGCAGGCAGCGCTCCACATTTTCAATGAGCATGTGAAAGATTTGTTTGCAACATTTTGTCTTCTGGAAAGGATCTTTAATTCAAAAGCACTGTATATAATAAATGGTAATTAAATTATCATAACGGCATTCTGCATCTCTGAGAAGCATAATAGAGGGTTTGTGGATTTGTTATATTTTTTTGCAGGGGAATCATAAAATAGAATTGATATGCCACATGTGAGAGGAAAAAGTAATGAAGGAAGAGGTGTATTCTCTGTGATAGCAAGAATGTATATTTCCTTTTTTCCTCTCCCCTATATCTTTCCTCTGGCATATCTGTAATATTTAGCTAAGGTTCTTTATTGTATCATATATGCTATATCTACTCAGTTTGTTTTCTTGGGAATTTTTATTTGTAGACGTAATGAAATAACCTATTATTTTTTACTAAATATATCTTTGTCATCTCTGCATTATAGGTGATGCCTATAGGCAATGCATATATAGAACTGATGCCACACAATATGCCTGTCTGACTCTGTTTTCTAGGCAAAACTAGATGTTAAAATTCATCTCCAGTAAATCTTGTCTACACAAATAGCATATGTGAATAATAGCACAGCTCTACAAAACAGCAAACTGAGCTTCTTTAAAAGTTGCTGAAATTAATTTGCTCTCTCTGGTTGCTGCATGAGAAGGTGCAAAAGGTGTGTAAAGGCTTTCCTTTGGAGGCTGGTGATTTACATCAAGGGAAGCTGCACTATCTGCGTGTCACCTGTGCATATTATGCAAAAGGAAGGAGGGTGAAGAGCTCAGCTGCACCATTCCAGAAAGACTACACTGTAATGTCTCACAGTCAGTTTTGAGCTCTGGTTGTAAAGGTTATGCTTTATAAGTTGTTTTGCCTAATTTAAGCTTAGACCTGATGATAGCTGCTGGTCTCTACTGAACTTGTCTCCAATATCCATACTGAGCTTTAGGTTTCATGTTGTTCAGTCTGCAGTCCTCATATGAGACAGACACTTTTTCTTCAGGTGATGCAATGATGCCCTGTGCTCACATGAGGGGTAACCCTTCTGTGAGGGGTAGAGCTACTTGCAGATCAGATGGTCTCCTGCCTGACAGATCTTCGCAATAAGGTGAACACATCTCGGAACAAGGTTAAAGGGCAGATTTGCCCAGTGGATAACCTTATAGTAACATGTTATTTTCAGCAGTGTGACTAACATTAAAGCACTGCAGTCCCTGATCTTACAAGCTTTTCCTGACCGTAGAATACTCAGATGAAGAGCATATTAGGTAGCCTCATTACCATGGGCAGCTTCTTTTCTTCTGAACTGACGCCCACATCTTGGAAGAGGCATCTGCACAACTCTGAAACTTGGCTGCATCACCGTGTCAACTCCACCACACTCAGATCAGCCTCTTCTGTTCTTGTGCTCCCCATGCTCCAAGGACTGGCAGTGACAAGGACCAGCTGTCCCACTCACATCTGAGCTCCAGCATCCCAGGGGCAGCTGCTTTACCCCACTCCTGGCCAGCACCAGCACAAGCATCTCCCACCCTGCCCAAGCTGCTCCACAGGTCTCCCATCTCACAGGGCTGCACCAATGGGCCCCAGCCACTGCCAGTTCTTCCTGACAAAGCTCTTTCTTCCAGCAGCAAGTACTTCTCATGCACCAGCTTAAATTTCCTGAAGCTTTATGAGCTGGTACAAGCGCCCAGTTTGGTTATGGTGTGGCATGTCCAGATGAATGCCCTCTGCCTTTGCTGCCCTCCAGCTCCTCTCACATACTCAGCACACTCTGTTAAAATACAACTAATGCTCCTGGGTGCCCACCAGCTTCTCCAGTCTTTTCTGTAATTGCAGAGGCCTTGGGGAGTGTGGAGAGCCATAGGCAGGCATATACACCGTTTTCTGTGCCTAATGAGGATGAGTCCTACTCTTAAGGGTGAATTGACATCTGATGGAAAACTGTTGGCTGCAGTCCAGCAAACGTACAAGGATGCCACTTTGACAGCACCAAGCAGACAGCAAGATTCTTGAATGTCAGTGTCTCTGAGAAATTATTCTGAGCTTTGTTCTTTTTCTGCTCAGGAACTGTGCCCGTCATTGCTTCTCTCCACATGGGAGACGACTGCAGCAGGGTAAGAGAAGGCAGAGAAGTCTGGCACTGAATTTTAAGAAATAAAAGTCAGCTGCCTTTCTAAATTAGGAGCTACACATCTGTAGTTTGTTCTTTCATCCTTCCTGCAGATTTCTACAGTGCAGTGAAACACTCTGGAAAACGAATGCTATTAGTCCAGTAATTGTCTTTGGGGGCTGCTTGTGTTCTGCAGACATCCACCACTGTTGTGTACGTATCTGGAGCCATCGTGCACAGATATCTCCAGCCTCTGGCAGCGCAAACTGAAGGGCTAGAGGTACCCACCAGACCTCCAGTTTTATAATTGAGACCAAGATAATACCCCAGCAGTGATGTCTGGATGCTTTCCAGCATGCATCTCAGACCTCCATTCTCAAAGTCGGTTCTTCAGCTGCTCTTCACCCTGGCTGGCTTAAACCACTGGATTACTTCTAGAAAATCCAGAAACTTCTCCACAGTCCTTGTCAGGTGTCCTTGATTTGCTTGTATTCTGAGTAAACTGCCCACATTTCTTCCTTCATCTGAAAAGTTGCAAATCATCCTGTCAGATACTTCAGTAAGCTAAATTTGGAAGAAAACTACTTCCATGGAAAATGTAACTTCTGCTAACCTTGAGGAAGTAAAATTCCTCTGTCCTTCTGTAAGACTACACAGTTCAGGAATGTGTTAGTATTGCACTTAGAAGAGGTGGCCATTCATGGCTGTCCTTCATGGCTCTGCCAACCCAGTGCAGAATCATAGAATCATAGAATAGTTAGGGTTGGAAAGGACCTTAAGATCATCAAGTTCCAACCCCCCTGCCGTGGGCAGGGACACCTCGCTCTAAACCATATTACCCAAGGCCTCGTCCAACCTGGCCTTGAACACTGCCAGAGATGGAGCATTCACAACCTCCTTGGGCAACCTATTCCAGTGCCTCACCACCCTAACAGGAAAGAATTTCCTCCTTATATCCAATCTAAACTTCCCCTGTTTAAGTTTTAACCCATTACCCCTTGTCCTATCACTACAGTCCCTAATGAAGAGTCCATCCCCAGCATCCCTATATGCCCCCTTCAGATACTGGAAGGCTGCTATGAGGTCTCCACGCAGCCTTCTCTTCTCAAGGCTGAACAGTCCTGTTAGTAACAGCAGCCTGTTAGTAATTTTGGGTTTGTGCTTACAGTAAATTAATAGCAGAGAAAAGCCTTCTCAAGTATTATTTTTTTTTTAATAGGAGTGGTCTTAACATCCTTAGTTAATTTGTGGGTGCAGAAAAGCCATTAAAATGGGAGGCTGAAAAAGAACAATAACAGGTAAACAGAAAAGCAGGTATTGTTCTATATAATAGATATAAGGTGAGAAGATATTTATTCTAACTGATTTCAACTGGAAACAGTCCTGAGAGAAGCCAAAAGCTCTGCTTTGCAGCATCTCACCTATTTCATATCTCAATTATGGTAACGAGTTTCCATCTCTGTGTCAGAAGGAAATGGCTAGTGATCAACTACTCCCAAGCCCTTCTGACCACACAATTGCAATACATTATCGTGTCCCAATAGCTGTTTCTGTTACCAACATTTTTCTCCATTAAAATGACTCCAGCTTCAAGATGCTGTTAAACATGTTATATGGCATAAATAATCCCAGAACATTTTGTTCCTTTCCAGTGCAGTGTGCAGTTCATCCTGCATATTCATATTTTTAACAATGTCTTGAGGATGCTCAGCTGCAGAATGGTGCGCCAGGCTTTTGGAAAGTGTTTTGCTTTATTATTCAAAGTATACATTTGTTCTCTCCGCAGGAGCAGTTTGAATTTGCTTTGACAGCGGTTGCAGAGGAAGTGAATGCAATACTCAAGGCACTTCCCCAGTGAACAGCTCTGTCTCACGAAGGTTCCCGCAGGATCTGTCCCTCATTCTCTTCATCCTCAGTCCCTGTGAATGTTCTTGGAAACCGTGACCTGAGCTTAACTGTGTATCTTCTGTTGTAACCACATAGTGATAGGGTCCTTACAAACCCCTTTAGCTGATAAAAGTTCAACAGTTAAAATGTGTATTCTGGTTTTGGGGGTTTTAAACAAGTTTTTAAAAGTACATTGAAGCCTCGGATTAAGTGACAGAACAATCCATCTGATTCCTTTCATATACTCAAAGCCCTCAATGTCACACTTTGAAAGCACACATTCATGTTCTTAATGGCAAATATACAGTATTGTGGGTAATTAGTGCAGTCAATATAGTCTCAGAAAACAGTGTTCTGTTATATTTTGTAACTTCTCAAAGGCTGAATAAGAGGAGGGAGGGGAGCCTGAAGAGAGTCACGGTTGTTCCTGTACAATGCCAAGCTAGAGCATGAAACAGTGCTGAGGGTGTGAATAAACAGAGGTCCAGGCTCTGGCAAAGAGAGCTTGCACCTTCACATGGTGCGTTTTGGCAAGCAAATGTTTCTTAACTGTTGTTTACTTTTCAGCTTTGTGCCACGAATGGAAGAAAATCTGAACTGTAAGTAAATAGGTTGCACAGTTGTTGCAACTGGGGAGAGCAAGTTGGTCACCCGAATGGGAAACCAGGTAATAATGAGCACAACTCTAGCCATATACCTACCACTGACAGCACAGAAAAACAGAGTGTAGACTCACCTCAGGTGATGGGGAAAGGCCCTGTCAGCAGTCAGGTAAATGTCTGGAGCTGTTAAGAAAACAGATGGCTGATTTTATGGGATTAGTGAGGAAGAAAATGGGTCTCCTCTTTATATTTTTGCATATTCCTCTGTAAAACTGTGCTGTGCCATCCTTTTCAGCCAGGAAAATATGTTTCTCTAAAACCCTGGCTGAAGGAGAAATCTTCAATCTGCGTTTTATGATTCTCATTGAGTTTGTCTGATCCAGACATTCGTTGCACCTTTCTGCAGAGGCTCTGCTCAGTCCTTTTTCTCAATTATACCTGTTTTAATTAACCATTAAGTGATAAAGAAGCACACAGGTGGAATTTCAGACATTCTTGTGTTCTCAAAATCCTAATGCCTACTGTTGCAGAGTAATGCTAAAATATGCCTGTAAATGGTTTGGTTATGCAATCTTGCTTATGTGAATTCACAGGTTTAGTTTTGGTACTCTTCTGAAGTAATTTACATTATTGATAGAAAGTACTCTGATATGTTTAAGTGAAGAGCCTGAGAGTAAAATTAGCAGAGGTACTTAAGCGATCTAGGCTCTTAATTTCATTTTGAAAGTGAATACTTGGATGCTTTTTCATGTTATCCTACATCTCTGTGATTTAAGAATCTGGGCTGGTTTTTCTCTAAAATCTTAAGAGTGTTGTGTGCTTGAAACCATATTAGGCTAATCGTTTGACTTTAGCACTGAAAATGTGTCATGGAATTTGATTTGGGAAGGGGGAGCTTTTATAAACTTCTGATCAGTGAAATGTTACAAATAATATCACAGAGTTTTGCTGGCACGATGTAACAGGCATCTATCGAAACCAACCATTCTGTGTTGTAGGTGTGGATATTGGTGATTCTTTTCTTTATAGCAATTAAAGAGTTATTAAAAAATAAAAAAAAAAAAAGCAGGAGGCTTGTTACTTTTTGCCATGCATTTTTTTATGCCTTACTTGGGATGTGCTGTTGCTTAATTTGTGCATTCCATTACAATAACAGTACAGAGCAGTTACTGCAGATGCCATCATCCTCTTAAGTACACATACTGTACATTAAGCCACATGTTTATTTTATGGCCTAAGCATTTTAGAGCTTTCCTAGCAATAACTAAAAAAACTAATGGAGTATAAATGAGAAAATTGCCTTTTTCATTTGATAATTTAGGTTTAACAGGATTCTTTTATTACTTTAGCTAACACAAAATTGCAGATCAGGGCAGATGAGATCTGTCTGAGCAGTATCAGCAAGTGTTTGAAGTAGATTTACTGTGAGCCACGTACTGCAGCTTTCTGACAATACAGGTTGTTATATCCAAACAAACTGTCCAAAGAATCAAAATTAGGGCGTCCTAAGCCAAGCTCCCCGATTATGGGGTAAAATTATTTCCCAGTGCAAGATGCCATGCCATTACCTACTGCCAATGGGCTAATGGGTTTTTAGCACAGATTTCTGCCCTGGGATTCATTAGCGTTTGCCTTCTGACTGTCCCTGCACATACCACAAGCATGGCTGACGAGCCTTTCGTTTGCACTTCAGGAATATTTTTTAATTGTTCTTTTGCAAATATTTGCATTTCATAATGGCAATTTCAGGGTGATCCCTATTAATTCACAAGCAGCTGTGTGTAAGACTTGAATATTGCTCTTCATGCTTCGGAGTTTATTTAGCATAGATTAGAGGGCATTAATCTCCCCCAAGGCTAATGGGGCAGGGATGTATTGTTTTATTCATACTTGTAGACTAGTTTACATAACAGAAAGATGCAGTCTTACTCAGAGGGTTAGAGTATCTCCCACTGAATGTCATTGACAATCCTGCTATTTCAGCCATGTTTTGTACAGTTCTTCCACAAAGAGGTGCCAGGCTTATTCTGTTAACCGTAAACTATCACACAGAGCATTTCCTCTGTGCATAGCATATTGTTCACACCTCTTGATAAATGCTCTGCTTCTGGGGGTGATAATCTGCTGCAGGGTCTGTTTCTGAAATACAGGTTTCAGTTGCACTGGGGCGATTGGGGGGGGGGGGGGTGTTGACAGTCCATTTCCCAGGAAGATGCCAAAGCCGTGGATGAAGCCACAGAGGTGGATTTCTCATGCAGGGCAGATATTTCTTTACCCTTTTCACTGCAGTTAACTTAATCCTTGTGATTTGGTGAAGGATTTTGTTCAAGCCACCCCTAGCCACTTGAACTGGCCATGGGAGCTGCCCCGAGTCCACCAGCAGGTTGTGTTGAGCTCCTTCTTGGAAGCCAGGATCACCTGAGAGCCCAGGGACAAATGAGACCCACCGTCCTCTGTTCAATATTCTGCTTTATCTTTAGTAAACTCATTGTGATTGAACCTTGGGCTGGTGCTTGACATATAGCCATAAGCAGTAATTGTTTAATATTGACCATCCTCGTGACCTTGATAAAGACAAATTGAATCTACAGGTGCTGTTTTTGTGGTTAAATCTTTAAATGCCATTTAAGGGAGGGGAGCTGCAGGAGGGTGATTTAACTCCAGTGCTCAGTTTTCTTCCTCATTGGTCAAAGCCTCTCAGCAGAGGGAGAAAACCTTGTTTTCCCCACAGGCATGGCAGTGAGCATGGCTGCTAGCCCTGAGCAAGGCCATTACCTGAACAGACTCCACATTTACATAGTCACAGTGTGTGCATATATGGGGGATAGAGAAGTCGTTGTTATCAGCATTGATAGTGTTATGTAAAGCCCAGATCCTTGAGGTTCAGTCTTAGCCACAGAGAAAATAGTGTGGGGTTTGCTCTTGGCTTCACGTGTTTCAGGTGCAGGCTCTAACCGTTGCTCTTGACCACCATCTGTGGGACCCAGTGCAGCCCAGGTAACATCCAGTGGAAGTCCTTGGCAATCGTGAGGGCCAACAATGAATTTCAGCAGAAAATCCCAGGTCCAAATATCAGTATAGTAGCAAAGCAGGCAAGATTATTTTTATAGATGCCACTAAACATTTAAAACACTTTAAAATATTTTTTAAATCTACACCAATGTCTAAAACTTGTTCCTGTCTCTAGCATGCATGCAGAACCAATCTCCATCCATCCCCAGGGGAATGACAGCTACAGTACCTGTAAGGAGTTCATGCTTTATTAGTCAAGTGGAACATTAATAAAACCCAGCCCACTTCATAATTTCCAGAATAGTTATTAATTAAAAACCTGTTTATTGGAATGGAAAACAAGTATTTGATTAGCTTTGTTACAGAACAATAGCTCTCCTAATTTTTATTCTGCATATTTTATTCTTTCTTTAGAAAATTCTCTTAAGAAGCAGTCGAGATAATTCGCTTTTGAAAACTGTACAGTTCCTATGGTTTTGCTTTTTAAATGAGAGTACACTTTGTATATTTGATTATTATATTTTTCTGTTAAGATTACACTGGGCATTACAAAAGCATTCCCCATCACAGTGAAAAGAAAGCTATCCTGTTAGTTTATTGTAAAAGAAAAAAATAATTAAAACAAAATTGCAGAGCTGTGGCATACTCAATCCAATTAGAGCATGACTCTTTACTACTCTCCATTTACCACATTAGAAATAAAGTTACACCAGCAAGATTTCATTTGAAGCTGTTCTTGCATGCTGTTTGTACTGTATTTGATGGCATAATATTGTTTTGTTTACAACCTTCTTTCTTGTCATTCTATTATATTCTTTATATGTATATAGTTTAAAAAAAGAAAGATTATACAAAGTATTTTGTTCTACCTCTGTACAAATCATATTTATGAATAAAGTCACATTGTCTGTGGAGTATGGAATTGTGAATACAGCATTAACAGCTGGTGCATTGCTTTTATTTAGGGGGTGGGAGCGGTACCTCCGTCTGTTGCTGGAGAGCTGGGTTCTGAATATGCGAGGTGGGCACGCAGGGCTGACAGAGAAGGGCGTCTGTGCTGGCGGCTTAGAGGTGCATGTTTAATCTGCTCTGAGCAGAAGAGATTGCAGCCACCTCTGGGTTGGTTGTGTGGCCCTGTAATATTGCAGCTCCCAATGTTTTGATCAAGGCAGACCGCTGTGTTCAGACCAGAGAGTGAAGCAGGCAACAAAAAAATTTAAATTACACTGACTCTCCATGTACAGACAGAAAGTGGAAAAATTTGGCCTATATTGTGTGTCACAGAGTGCAGGCGTTAACAAAGGGAATAAATGATGCCGTCTTTCAGGAAAATTAGTGGCAGGAAAATGGTTTTGGGGAGGCAAGGCTGGTGGATCAGGGCATAACAGAATGGGTGGTAAGGGCTGCCCAGGGATTTAGAGTTTTAAAATAGTAGCAGGATTCACAGAAGGATTTGAACAGGTAATAAAAAATACTATTATATTAAATAAGGTTAAGGGGAATAAAGTCTAGGTTCCCACATAACCACAGCATAAAATAACCAGTCTGTTCCCTGGGGCATAGGAAGTAATTTTCCCATAAGCACTGCCCGTTATACAAAGGTTTGTATCTTTCCATGAAATATCTATTGTTAGCTGTGATCAGAGGCAGTCTTCAGGATTAGACAGCCCTGGTATGGCTGTTTTCATCGTCCTGTATTGTGTGTTGAAATTCCACTTGCATTTTGAAGAAGACTTAAAATAGTTCACCACTGTCTTGGAAAGAACTAGAAAAATGTAAATAGAAAGGTAGAAACAGTCCTGGTCCAGCTCACTCCCTTCCCATCAGAAGAATCACATTTTATATTCCTTAACCTTGTTTATGTAGTTGTGTGTTTTAATATCTGTGCCTTTCTCACTGTAAGAAGGTGACTTTCATCTTGGAAGCAAAATATATGCACCATTATAGCTATTTTCCTGGTGGTGTAATTGAGGAGGTCTTTTCATCTCCAAGCTAGCTTTCTGAAGCCTTTGGTAACATCAGATGGAGGACAAAAAGAGAAAAAAAAAATTAACTGTATAACTACTGGAGCATTATGTATCTTCCAGGCAAACACAAAAGCCATCAGCTGCATGTTCATTGATTCAGGCAGCCAGCGCTTGCTTTCACTTTGTGTTAACGCAGGTACAAGCAGCCTTGCCCTGCCTGGTGCTCTCACATAGTGTCTCAGCTGCTGCTAAGGGGCATTACTTTGTTGCTAGTACTCAAGGTTTTGTAATTGCAGCTGTAGCTCATGACCAGCAGGCTGAGTGTTGGCTTCTGGTAGGACTCAAGGAAGAGCTGGTTTTGAGTATTAGCCTGGAGCATCCCGAGCACACCTGAGTACTGTTATTGCACACCCCGTGCTATGGTAACAAACCTCTGAGCCTGAGCTGTTCATGCTGCTGGGGAAGCAGAAGGACAGAGCACTCAGCAAAACAGGAGGAGGAGAAAAGTTCTGCCCATCCGCTGCCCTGCTTGGTACCAGCGCAAAAGGGAGAGACACACTTCTGCTCCCAGATGAACTACTGCAGCCCATGTGCAGTATAAAAACCAGGAACTTCTCAAGTTGCCAAAAGTTCCTGAAGGTTTTATTTTTCATAGAATCATAGAATAGTTAGGGTTGGAAAGGACCTTAAGCTCACCTAGTTCCAACCACCCTGCCATGAGCAGGGACAC